GCAGCCTTAGGGAACTAGGACACCCCCTCTCAACGTCACTCCTTTGAGTCTCTGCCACTTTACCACAAACATTCAGTCATGCCATCTGACAAAAGTTCCTGTTTTCCTGGGCCGGCCCAGTGGCACAATGGTTAAGTTCGCACGTTCCACTTCGGCGGCCCAGGGTTCGCCGGTTCGGATCCCAGGTGCAGACCTATGCACCACTTGTCAATCCATGCTGTGGCAGGCATCCCACATATAAAGTAGAGGAAGATGGGCATGGATGTTAGCTCAAGACCAGTCCTCGTCAGCAAAAAAAAAAAAAAAAAAAAAAGAGGTGGATTGGTGACAGATGTTAGCTCAGGGCTAATCTTCCTCAAAAAAAAAAAGAGTTCCTGTTTTCTTATGAAAATCTGCTCAATACCCCTGAATGTTTCCTCAAGAACTCCTACCATCTCCCATCATGGAAATCTTCTTCAAAGGAGACTGAGAGTTCTCCCACAGCCGCAAATCCATCAAGAAAAGAGAACTCTCTGCCATACTCTTGGCTTTCCATTGTTAAGTCTAGGCTATACTTTTTTCTTTTAATTTATACTAATTTTATTTTTTCCCAACTTTACTGAGGTATAACTGACAAATAAAAATTGTACATATTTAAGGCATACATCATGATGTTTTTCTATGTGTATGCATGTGGAATGATTACCACAATCAAGCTAATTAACATATCCATCACCTCACATAGTTACTATTTGTGTGTGTGTGGTGAGATCACTTAAGATAGCTCTCTTAGCAAATTTCAGGCATACAGTACAGTATTATTAACTATAGAAACCATTCTGTACATTAGCTTTCCACAACTTATTCATCCTGTGTTACTAAAAGTTTGTACCATTTGGCCAATATTTCTCCATTTCTCTTACCCCTCTCCCTGTGCAATCACTATTCTACTCTCTGCTTTTATGAGTTCAAATTTATTAGATTCCACATATAAGTGAGATCATGCTGTGTCTGTCTTTCTGTGTCTGACTTATTTCACTTAGCTTAATGTCTCCAGGTTCATCCATGTTGTCATAAATAGCTAGATTTCCTTTTTTAAGGCTGAATAATATTCCATTGTATATGTATTTTCTTTATCCATTCATCCATTAACGGACACTTAGGTTGTTTCCATATCTTGGCTATTGGGAATAATGCTGCAATGAACATGAAAGTACAGCTATCTCTTCAAGACACTGATCTCATTTTCTTTGGATATATACCCAGAAGTACAATTGCTGAATCATATGATGGCACTATTTTTAATGCTTGAGGCATCTCCATATTAATTTCCATAATGACTGTACCAATTTACACTCCTACCAATAGCGTACAAGAGTTCCCTTTTCTCCACAGTCTCACCTATACTTCTTATCCTATAACTTTATATATAGCTTCTCCCTAAGAGTTTATCCTCAGCCCCCTTCAATTCTCACTCTATATGTTCCACCTCAGCAACTACCTTTCCCACTTCAATTATCAATATTGTGAGAATGAGCTTCAGATCTACATCTCAGTTCCTGCCTTGGCTCTAGACAAATGTTCTTTGCTGCTCTTCTCCATAAAGATATGTATTGGCACCTACAGTTTATTGTGTTTCTAACCAAACCATACTTCCCATTCCAAACCAACCTTTCCATTTTACTGTCTCTTTTCTATTCCTGGCACTTGCATTCTCCCAATTGCCCAGGTTCAGAATTTCAAGTTCAACTTTGATTTTTTCTTACCTTCAAGCTATACTTCCAATCAGTTGCTAAGTTCCATAGCCCCCAGCTCACAAACATCTCTCAAGTCTATTCCCTCTTCCATTTCTATTATCACTGCCCTATATCAGGCCAAGACTGATACTGCAATGGCCTCTCCACTGGTATCCCCCTCTTATGCTTCTCATTAGTACAATTTTAAGTACACATCTTGATAGATCGCTTTCTCCTCAGCAGCTTCCTCTATTGTCCAGCAAATGAAGGATATGAGGTGAAATACTCAACTACATGTCCATGTCAAGCCTTCCAATTTTGTCTCCCATTCCTTACTTCACAAATTATTCTCCAAATTGTGCTATTTGCTGAACTCAAATATGTTTTGTGCCTTCTCCAATAAAAATCCTATAGCCAAGGATGCCTTGAGCTGATAACATAACAGCTAGGATATAGAGGAGCTATTTGTCATTATTTTATCAAATAACTCCTGTTCCTCTCTCCCTCAGAAGGATCTTCACTGGAGAAGAGCCATGACTGACGTCTATGTTTATGATCATCACTCACTCATAAACTTCATTCTCCAAGACTCACGAAGGACACTTCCCCAAGTCTCAGATTTTGTTAAAATGAAAAACGTTCTAATCAAACTGCACAAGCAATTTATCATTTCACTATCATTCCATTATGATCTGTTTGAATTACTCAGAGATAAAACACAGGAAGCCTCACTTTACACTGAAATTTCTTAGCAATCAACGTTGCTAAAGAGAGAAATTCAGAACAGAGTACAGGAAAATTTACAAGAGTGGGAAAATATATAACTTTATTAATAGGCAGACACTTCAGAAAATGAATTTATACATCTCCTTCTAAGTCAAGATACTAAGATTTCTAAAAACACACTACTAATACGGTGACAGAGATGTCATCACTGTTGTAGCAAGAGGAGCAAATGTTACAGAACTAATGAATTTTCATTAGAGTCATCAGATCATTTCAGAATGGGTTAAGTTGCTACCACCGCCATTCCCATTAATATCATTGTCATGTAAAAGGTTTAATTTTCAGCTATTTTTGTTCTAGATAAAATCTTTGTCATTAAAATGAGGGATGATTTTGATATTTAATATATTCCATGGCATACTCTAGTGTGGTACTAATTTGGCCTTTTCAGCATTCTGCATATTAATTGACAAGCCATCCCTCCTCTGTTCCCCCAGATAAGTGAGAACGGAAATAGAATGGACAGCCAATCAAGTCACAGAATACTGAAAGGATCAACACAGAAGAAATGTGTTACTCTAATCAGGAGCATACAAAATGCACTAAAATTATTTTCTCCCATACCAATGACTAAGATAGAAACAGGAATAACGAACGACACCATCTGAATGCTTTTCTGTGATGGTATTATCAAAGTATAGCAATGCTCCCTAAAAAAGTAAAAACTAAGTACTTCTTATTTTAGTCAAAAGAATAAAACTGCGATCTCACTTAACTTTTAGAAGTGTATTTTATCAGATTCTGCAGCAATTGGCAAATTATGTCCTGTATTGAATTTTTCATAATAATCTGTTCCATACACACAAAATGTGTCCTGTAGTTGAAGAATGTACAGGACACTGTAGAAAACTTATCATTTTGATACATACTCAGTTTCCTTCTCTTGTTGAATTATCACTCTGGTGAGAACTGACATCAGCTGCTTAAACAATGCATTAACCCTGCTTCCAAAGGCTATTGTTTTCATTTGAGTGGGCATTTCCTCTAAGAATAAACTTGGCATTCTTATCCAAGAAGATAACACAATTTGTCATCATTTAAAATTTAATTGAATGTTTTGAATTATTTATATAGCAATAATGATATCATTTAGAATTCCAAAGAGCAAAGATTATGGCATTATGGACACTTACAACAGGTGTGAATAGCTGGCCAATTAAATCAATTAACCCCATCTGTCCAACAGGAGCAGGCCTTTTCTACATTTTCTGCAAGAGCACAGCACCAGAACAAACGTTAAACATAATAAGTAACGTGTATAATAAATTTCCATGCCCTATTATGTGTGGAAGAACAGATCCCAGGCATCCACAAGTCATTGAAGAGAAAATCTTATCCCAATAATTTTAGACTCTTTGTCCTTGCTAATTACGGATAAGCGCAAATCACTCCCATGATCTTTTCCTGAGTGGAAGCCTCCAAGAAAGGCAATAAATTATCAAGATGATTTCTTCCTTCAAGTTCAAAATTACTCAAAAATAGCCAATGGGCACTTTAATTTTTCCATAAAATGTTGTTATTACTCTTATAGAAAAAAATGTAAATTTTATTCAGTAATTTTTAATGAGAATAATAATATTTGTTAAGTTAACAGTAAGATGTCTCCTTTCATCCACAAAGGTATACCGTTGACTAATCAGCAATAAGATTTGTGCTCTAAGTTGTTTTTTGTTTGGCTCTATTTTTCCCAAGAAGTGGGATGGATTTACAACTTCATGACTAAACATACACGTGTCAAATGCCTACGGAGATTTGGACAAGCACCCTGAAAAACGCCTGGGATGGAGCTCACGAGCACTTTGTTCTAACCAACTTTTTACATCTTGCCCTTCATCCCACTGTTAGCTTCAGGGTTTAAGGTAAGAATGAAAATGCAAAAAGTCACATATGACAATAAGAATATCACTTAAGTATAGCTTGGGGGCTACTTCAGTATTATTTTAAGATGATTACCAGTCTTAATCCCTCTAGTGTTGGATGTTAAATTCCACAGCCTTTTTTTAAAATTTAATGACTTGCTAATGTAAACTTTCATCTAGAACAATCAAATAGTATGTCATTTATTCAAATTTACAGTGGCTCCAATGTGCCAGCAAACTCCCTCGTCAAAACAGACAATTTTTAAAAATGTTTGCCTGAGTCAGGAGCTCTATTTCCTAAATTAGCACCAAAGTGTCACCTTGATAGACCATGAACAACAAAATCATTTATAACAAACCCAGCTTCCCCTAGAGTGGACAGCCTAGGTCATGCATCTATAGGAGCTCTAATTATTCCATACAGATCAGAGGGCGCTTGGAGATGCTCAGACTTCTGCAACCTGTCGCCTCCAAATACAATCATCGGATAAATAGACGCTTACCAATCTCCCTTGAGAGCTGAGTGAAGGCCTCCACACCACTCTCTCCATAGTTGCCCTCAGAAGCCAGTGTCGACACATAATTCCACCCCAGTGCTGTCACAATGTCCACCATGGCTTGAGCTTGGTAGGAGTCAGGCGGGACCACCCGAGAGAAGAAGTCATACCTGGTGTTATCACTTAGCTCTGGGGCTGTGGATGCATAGCTGATTTGAGGTATCTGTAAAACAAATGGCACGTCATTTCAACCCATGAGGAATCTTGTCGAGTGATGAACTGTCACAAGACACTAAACAGCCAAAGCTACACCAGAAACCTAGACGTAGCAGCCCGAAGCCAAAATGTGGTTATATGGCCACCAATTTAATTAGAAAGTATTTTATAATGGTCTGTGGGCTGACCTTCTTTCAAAGCACATTTCTAAACAGCAATAAAGAATTTAGTTTTGCTTCAGATTCCATTGTTTCTGAAGCCACAGCAAAACGTTGGTGCTTTTTGTTGTTGTTGCTTTTTTATTCTGTACATGATTACTTCTGGTACAGAAATGAAGGTATCACATTTACAGACATCAGAAAAGGTCACCTCTGAAATTGTCTTTGGCTTTAGGACATAAAGGCTACACAATGACAGACAATTCAATGTGAGTTTTTTTACACAATACTATTTCAATCTTAAGGTTTTATTTTTGGTAAATTATTTTAAATATATAGTTTTTCAAGTCTAGATATAATCATTGAGTACCACAAGAAGATTTAGGAATAGTCAACCACATATTTTCTAATAAAAACATCTTTCTAGCCAGCCCCCCCAAAAAAAGTCACAAAACAGGAATCCATACTGTAATTTCTTTAAGAAAAGAGACGATTTTCTAAGATAAACATGGTGAATTGCCAGAAGACTGTCAAAACTAGGAATCCTATGTTGTTTCTCCTAAATAAATTCAAACTGAGTTACAAATTAACTACATGCCACAAATCTCCTCCTAAAAATTTTTTCAAATATAATATTCACTTGTCTATCCTCTTACTCTAGCAGTGAAAAGTGCCAAGAAAGAAGAACAGAAGGATGCTAAAGAAGTGCAGCAGAGGGACATACAGGCTAGACGGGAACACAGAAGATGCAGGAAATCTAGCATACAAGGCAGGAAACAACATTTCAGCCTCAAGAAACTGCACGTCCAAAGGTATAGAGTCAAGAAAGGGCCCGGTAGATCCAGGAATTGCAGCGTTTCACATGGCAGGAATGCAGGATACCAAGGGAGGAATGACAGGAAATAAGACCGCAGAGCTAGAGAGATGATGAAGGGCTAGTCAGGTATGACTAGGACTGTGGAGTTTATCACAAAGGGCATGGGGAAGAACCAAATGATTGTAACCAAGGGAGTGGTATAATTGGATTTTTGTTTTAGAAAGATCACATTGGCAGCAGTGGGAAGAACAGCGACCCTCAAATTTCAGTGAGCATATAGGTAGCACTATTCCCGAAGATTCTGCCTCAGTATGTCTAGAGGTCTGGTAATCTGCATTTTAATATGCCCTCCAGAAGAATCTGATGCAGGTGGACCCACACGATGCTTAGAGATACATTAAATTAAAGGGAAGCCATACTAGATGCAGAACAACCAGTCAGAAAACCACTATAGAAATCTAAGTCAGAAAATATGAACTAAGGTAGTGGCAGGAGGAAAAAGAAAGGGTGTAGAACTTGTAAGTATCTAAAAGATAGGGAATGCTGTAGGTGATGAGGAGAAATGTGGAATGACTCTCAGTTCTCTGGCTCTGGTAACTGGGTAGACAATGTTTGCTGTTTACCCAGATAGAAGATCAAGAGAAGACTGCACAGACAAAAACAAGGAATTTAACTTTTGATTTGCTTCTTTTGAGGTTCCTGCAAGATGAATGAAAGCAACTAAAAAGAGGGCAATAATATTGGGGGATCTGGAGTGTAAGAGAGTCTTCAGGACTGGAGATAAAGAACGGTGAGGACATAATGGAGGCAGTAGTTCAAGCCACAGAGGCATGTGATCACCCAAAGAAACTATGAAAGAAGGGCAATTTGGGAAGGTGACCTATGCAGCTATGTATCTCAGCACTCCTCTGCTGCCACGCTACAATGTGAGTGAACGTTCAGAAGTCAAAATGACTCCAAGATGCCCTAACTCAGGTTGCTTGATTGAAGATGCAGATTTGACTCGTACGTAAAACAATTAACTTTGCTCTCCATCAGATCCTACAGCTAATGTCACTGCTCTAACGTCAAAAAGGTTGCAGTTCCACCTTCCCACTCAGGGCTGTAAACCCTGGAATCTAACCATGGCCCACTACCCTCTGGCCAACTGATTCCCAATACACATAGATATTTTATGTTTTTTTTAATTTTAACACTTTATTTGTGATATCTCTCCTCACCAATTTTAGTTGAAAATAGAATTGGATAATTTTGCTTGGGGGGATTGTTTGGGCAGCTGCCAATTTTTTTAATTTAGATATAATTGACATACAATATTACATTAGTTCCGGGTGTACAATACAATGATTCAATATCCATATATATTGCAAAGTGATCACAGTAAGTCCAGTCAACATCCATCACTATTACAAAATTTCTTTTCTTGTAATGAAAACTTTCAAGATCTACCCTCCTGGCAACTTTCAAACATACCACACAGTAGTATCAACTATAGTCCCCATGCTATACATTACACCCCCATGACTTATTTATTTTATAGCTGGGAGTCTGTACATTTAACCCCTCCTCCCATTTCACCGACCCAATCCCCATGCCTCTGGTAAACCACCAGTCTGTTCTCTGTATCCCTGAACTTGGTTTTTTGTTTGTATGTTTGTTCTGTGGGTTTTTTTTTTTTTTAGATTCCACATATAAGTGAGATCATATCAATTTTGTCTTTCTCTGTCTGACTTATTTCATTTAGCATAATGCCCTCAAGTTCCATCCATGTTGTCACAAATGGCAAGATTTCCTTCTTTTTACAGCTTAGTAATATTTCATTACATTATATGGCCGTACAATATTTCATTTTGACCTCTGTATATGTACATGTGTACATACATACATATAAATAGACACAGACAAACAGACACACCACATTGTCACACACACCACATTTTCTTCATCTATTTATCCATCCATGGATACTTAAGTTGCTTCCATATTTTGGTTATTGTAAATAATGCTGCATTGAACATGGGGGTGCACATATCTTTTTGAGTTAGTGTTTTCCACATGGAGATTTTGACTCTCCTCTTGACATCTTTGAAAAGCTCTCAAAATCTAGACAGTCTTTCTTAGGTCTAGAGAGTCCTATTCCATATTGGTGGCCAATGAAGTGACACTGAACTTCCTAAGATATAAAAGCTTCAGTTACCTAGGGAACAAAAGTAGAACAATTTGCTTGGAGCTCTCCAGGGTGCTGTAGAATCTATTTAGCCTCTGTGTAACCTGTATCTATTTATATTGGCTATAACAATGATTTAACCCCAAATTCTTCCTGGTCCTGTTCTCCTAGTGGGACCATGTTAACTTGCTTCTTAAAATTGTGGGATCATGAAAGCCAGTCTGACTTGCCTCCTTCCTGCCCCTTTGCTTACTCTGCCAGATACACTGGCCCTATCTTGGCAGACTATTCCTTTGACTAGGCTTTGTGCCTTGGTAATACATGACTACTCAGCAAGGACACCCCCCCAAACCTCAAACCACATTCCAAACCTTGGCCTTTTTCACCATTATTGCTTGCTTCTAGAGGACCTGGCAGAGAGACAATGGATGACTCAGTGAGATCTATCCCTTACTAGATAAAACTTTCCCAAAGATCAAGACCATGTCCATTTCTATGTTCTAATGAAAGAGATTCAACAGCCTGACCTTCACTTTGGAAGGAATTCTGTGCATGTGTGAGTGTGGTGTGTGCATGTGTGTGTGCGTAGGAGGGGATAGGGAAGCATTCTATAGTGAATTCTATAGCACTATACCATTTCCCTGTCCTATTTGGATATATAATAATCCTCCCACTTCCTCAGGTACTCAGAGTCCAGCAGTAAAATGCCTTATACAACCCCCACCCTGTCTATAATAATGAGCCATCGCTTTCTAAAAATGAGCACAAAGTGTGAAAATTTAGTGTTTGAAACCAAAACTAATTATCTCAAATTACTACCTTCAGTCAGTCACTTTCAGGGCTGTTTAATTAGCAGTCAGCATCATGTTTAGGATTAATTAAACAGGTGTAAAGGGTATATAAAATAAAAGTGCAGATATAAAATGGTTGTTTGAATAATTAGGTAAAAGACTTTCTCCCCAAAGTCTTGAAGCATTTTCTCTTTGCAGATCAACGTGCAGAAAAGTAATGTGAGAGTAAATGTTTGCATTTTCATTTGTTGAATTTTTGCTATGTTGCAGTCCACAATAATAGACACCAGGGTATACTTATCACATTTCACGACAACTTTTCACATTGTCATGAAGTCAGGTCTCACTTTTACTTTATTGTGGTCAACCACTAAGCATTGGCTCATTAGGCATTTTAATTTCTGTGCCAGCATCCTCAATATCTCCACTACCCTCAAATGAAATCCTACTGGCAATTGAAGTACAACTTTTTTTAAAACCTCGGATGTTTCTCTTTTTTTCCCTACGCTAAATCCATCCTAACTCATCCCTTCACCCTGGAGGTTCCATCTACCAGAAACAATAACAACAGTTGAAAAGGTAGTGAGTAGGGGATAGAAGAAGAGAGAGAAAAGAAGAAGAATGTACCAAGAAAAGAAGGTGTTAGGGAAAGCATTCTGCATCAGCTCATCCTTTGTAAGAAGTAGCATCCTTTACAAGCCTCTGTGAACTCCCACTTGCCCATTCAAAGGATAATATCCAAACTCTTTGGTCTAGTTCACAAAGCTCTCATATCAGACTCTGTCCCATCCTTTTTCCCAACCTCCTGTCTTCCCTGTCACACGCTGACAGCAGCTGCACCCCTGCCCACGCTGTTCCCTGTGTAGCAAGACTCTTTCTGCTCTCCTCTGCCTGGTGATCTTCTGCGCAAATTCAATATCCAGCTCAAAAGTCACCTCCTACCTGGGAAGCTTTCATTAACTCTCTCCGGCAGAGCTGTCTTTTGCTGCTTCTTGCTCCCATGGCCTCCATCATGTGATATTAGAACCACAACTGTGTGCTGGGTACGATCCTCTCAGGGACAAAGTCTCTGTTGATTTATCTGGTATCCCCAGGAGCTGACAGAGCAAGTGCTCAATGAATGTTCGGAGGCAAGTAATTAATCAAACTGGGGCAAGAATTTTGATACAGCTTCTTCCCCATGGCCTCCTATTCTGCATTCCAGCAAAACATTGTGCAGGCTATTCTCAGTTTGTCCCTCTCAATCCTTCTTTGTCCTGCTCTATGTCCTAGGAGGCCACTCTATGACTTTAGCACCTGGGAACCTCGCCTCAGCTTTCAGTTGAGTTTGGCCAGTGGGAGACACCAACAGGAGATGGGAGAGCAGGAAGAGACAGAATTCAGAGTGTTAGTTCCCCCATCTCCTTCCCCACTCACTCAGTGTTTGCATCTAAGCGCTCATCCATAGCTTAAGCCCTTGCCAGGTTCTAGTGACCACTCTCTACCTATCCCTTCAGGTCTTGCCACTGTTGCTAGTTCCTGAGTACTTTCCCACCCTGTGTTCATTTCTTTCACTGCACCCACACGTTATAAATAGTCCTATTGTTAACCTCTCTCCCATGACCCCTTCAGTGTGCCAGAAGCCTGAGTAACACACCCACTCCTCCAGGTCTCTGTGGAAGGGACATTCACTGCTGTGCTTCCCTACCCTCAGCCCTATCCTAACCTCTTAGCCCTTCTCCATCCATTTTCCCTTCCAGCCTTCTCTACCATTGTCCTTACATGACTTCTTCCTTTCCTTTTTCTTTGAGTGCCTTAAGGCATCAAACTGCATAACTTGAAAACACCTGTCATTCTGCTTGTTTTCATTTCTTATTTTCCTTGTGCTGAGGTTTCACAAGAATATGATGTGTGCCTAAAATAACGCCATATTTCCATTACCCAAAATAAAGCACATTTGAGGCAATTAATTGCACAACTCAAGATGCTCATCCCCATACCTGCCTTAGAAAATTGCTTTAGCTTCCACTTTTCTGATAATCGGTTTACTTAAGGAAAAAACTCTTCTTCTTCTCCCAGTACATTTACACTCCAGTCCATAGAAGAAGAGATTCCTATCCCCAATCTCACCCCTCTTAGAGAGTTCCAGAATGCATACTTCCTACCTAGATCTCCATCTTTACTTATTCTCCCCGAAGGAGACAGGAAACTGAACAGAGGTCAAAGTTCTACATTTCTCAGGCAAGACTGGCTAACAGGCTCTGTCTTCGTTCTCTGACCTCTTGCCCTCAAACATCCCAGGCTTCTTTTCTCTGTGTCTGAGATCAGGCAGGATCTCCCTTCTTTAGGAGAAAGCCCACCCCTCTTCTCCATATTCCACTGACAGCCAGGTGTGTGAGAGAGGCATGAAGCTCACAGCACTGGCTGAGTAGGTGCACTTAAGGCTTCTGTGCAGGCAGAAGCAAGTCCCAGGTTGAGATGTGGTGTGGGAGTAGGAGGCATCATTTTGGCCTCAAGTCCATGCTGAATTCTTTCCAATCCAGTTCTTAACAGACAGCCATGTGTCTAGGGAGTTATTTGGTGTTTTCTCAGCTGTTTATAAAACTAATTACTTGATCCACATTTAGCTACTTATTCCGCAAATCTTGGACTTACATACTGTAACAGATTCTAAAAGTTTAACTTAGATCTCAAGGAGGCAAAAATTCTATTTCAAAAGAAATTCATTTACAGTTTCTTGGATATTTTGATAAATATATATATACTTCTTTTTAAACAGAAGTTAGCAGAAATTATTCTCCCTACTGTCTGTTCTTTACTTCTTCTAGATAGAATCCCAGATTCTTACCTAGGAATTGGCTACTCAAAAGAAAACTACATTTCCCAGCCTTCTTTGCAGCTATGATCATTAGCATAGTGGTGAGTGTAACTTTTGAAAAGTGTCCTTAAAAGGAGAGGACACGTCTTTCTCAGGCCCCTCCCTCTCCCCTGCTGGCCAGAATTTGGACATAATGTCTAGAGTTCAATTAGCCATCTCAGGCCATACCCTAGGGATGATGGAGCAAAATGCCACACCCTGGTCCAAGCCACTGTGATATCTGCATTCCTGAAACCACCTGACTGCTCTTCCTGCTTCCATTCTTGTCCCTTTCAAATGCATTCCACACCAGCAGCCAAACTGATCTTTAAAAATAAGTTCATATCAGAATCTTGCTCAAAGTCCTTCAATCATTTCCCCATTGCTCTTAGAATAAAGTCCAAATGTCTTGCTGCAAGATCCTTGTGATTTGGCATCTGGCCACCTTTCCCCTGGCTCACCTGATCCAGCCAAAGTGGCTTCCTTTCCACTCCCTAATCTGGCCAAGGCCTTTTTCCTCTCCAAGCTTCATGCCTATTGCTTCATACACTTTTCCCAAATCCTTCCAGGTTTTTCTCATTCTTCAGCCTCAGCTCAAACGTCTCCTCTTCAAATAGGCCTTCCCTGACCACCCCATCAATGGTGGTCTCCCCACTCCTGTTAGTACCTCATCACCCTATTCACTTCCTTCATTATACTGATCACGACCTGTATTAATTCATGTATTCTGTTTCTCCTACAAAAATGTAGATTCTACAGGGATCTTCTTTGTGTTGTTTATGAGTGTAACACGGGCTTCTAGCACCTAGTGGGGGTTCAATATATATTCACTGAAAGAAAAATTGATCCATCCATCAATCAATCAAGGACTCCTTTTATTATTTTCCTCCATGCATGGTAATTTTGAAGGACTTTTCTATAAACTATTTAAGTAAAAAAGTCATCCGTTTCTCATTTTCTTTATTACTCAAAGATCTATTTATCTGCTAAAGCTTCTGATCAGCATGAGATATCTATTACCACCAAGCTGAGGTGATGGAATGCCAGTCTAATTCAACTTAGTGCCATTTCAGTCATGGCTGTGCAGCCACATCATAGGGAAACATACAATTGCCACTGAACCTTTTGAAATGCTGAAAGTGGACATGAAAACTTTGTAACTATCTTGGCAAATATTTTGACAGTTCATGGACTTCAATCTTTCATTAAAGAAGAAAACAAATTACATTTCTAGTCAAGGACCAAAGTCACAGATTCTTTAATCATTTGCTTCTTCTTGCTTATCTTTATCTGTAAGATGGATAGTCTAGGCAGGGCTGAAAGTTTATTCCTCCCTCAAACGGACTGCATCTCTCCCTGTTGCCATCACTGAGTCTCACTGCTCATGACTAACAGAGAGAGATGGGATGTTACTGAGATGCAAAGGGGCTGAGGGGCCTTCAGACACCATAAACACTCTTTCAGGGTCCAAGAAGGTTACAATTCCACTCCAGCTGCCTTTCTAAGGTTTCCCACTGTTTGCATATCAAAATACCACGGTAACCTTGAAAATTTCTATGTTTGCTCAAAACAGTATTAATCTTGCATACATTTCCCAAAGTTTCTTGTTTACCCAAGGTCTCTAGAAAGCCAAGACACTCCTAACAAGCAATGAGCCACCTAAAGCACAGCTCAGAGGAAGCCTCTCAGAATCGTAGTAAATTTAAGTCTTCTTGCAAGAAACTTGCACACATCTGAGGACGGGTTTGCAGACAGAAGACAATTGAAGACCTGAGTCACACATATCTTCACCATCAATTCCTGCCAAAAGGGTTTTTGTTCTTTCTTTATCTCTGCAAACAACCTTGTCCATTGATCGTTGAACTTAATGATGGAGGAGGTTCGCGGGGTGGGATCTTCGTGCTGTTCAATAGCATCATTGGTTTTCTCCAGTGAAATATCAGCTTGAAGCTTTGCTCTTCCCTCAGGGGGTAGTGCTTTCCTGAGCACTTCTTCAGTGATGCTGGCCTGAGCAACGGCAGCCATCACTATGATAGCTTCCTGCCACCTGGTCTTGGGATGGATTTATTGTTGCTGCAGAACTAGGTCCAGAAAAGCATAATGATTACAGCCATTAACTTTGTCTTTTCAGACATGGCTGCTCTCTGGTATTAAAATGACTAGTTGCTATTAGTGGCAAAACATGAGTATGCAATCAGAAAGTAGGTAAAAATGATGCATCAGGGCTAGAAGTCAATGCCCAGCACTGACCTTCCCCTTCTCACACTGCCCTGAGCTTTCATGCTCCTCTCAGCTTCATGAAAATGGAATAAGGAGCAGGGGGAAAGGAAAAAAGAACATAGAGCCAAAGAGCGGAGTAATAATGAAGAGTGACGGCTATCCTGAGTTTGCTTCCACAAACATGAAGAAGCACTATTGCCATCCCAAAATAAGACCTGCTCAAAGCAGCTCCACCCACACAGTGGACAGATAGTAAGCTTCCTGTTTGCACAAGGTAGTGCCAAATGTGAAATTCAGTCTCTGCCTTTCTTCTCAGTTGAATTCCCATAGTCAATTCAGAGGAAGATGAAAACTTTTGTGTTTTGATGCATGGTGGAGCTTAGCAAAAGAAAAGGAGGGGAGGTCTATTGAAATGGGAAATTGTGGAGGCCATGGAGAGAGAGAAGGAGAGATTTCATTGTACTGTGTTTTTCATTCTTCTCCCCAACATCAGCTCATTCAGAGTAAGCAAAGCTATCTACACACCCACATTGGAAGAGCCTGTGGTTAGTTAACACAGGTGAGTATAACACAATGTTAGTGGGTTTAAGGCCATGAGTTTAATTCCATTATGAGCCAAGATGCAGACCTTACTCCTCATCAGAACATTCCTCCTCACAAACGCACAGCACCAATAACAAAGCCAACCAGAGAAGGGAGAGAAAAGGTCAATCCATTCTCACTACTAGATAAATAATTCAAAGATGGTTTGCTACTGATGGTGAATCTGAAATTTCAATGGCAGATATGAAGATCAAGTCATAAGAGGCACGCTTTCTTCAAAACATAAAAAGTGCATTTTGGTATATATGTATGCCTGAAAGTATACCCGTATATTACACTTACAAATTCATTTCTTGGTTTCAGATGGTCCACTGGGATATTCTACTGCATTGTAAAAAGGTACATTTTCTCAGTACTTTTTCAAGGGTATTGTATGAGTCAAGGAAGCAAAGAAAAAAAATGGCACACTCAAATTATGGTAACTCAGGGGATTCAATAAAGGGACTATTTTCAAGGCAGGGGCAGTACACAGGGAATGGCAATGGAAAGCCATAATCCAGTAAAAGTCAGAGGAGGCCAGTTGCCACCTTTGGACCCTAAGGGCCAGAGGAGGGAGCAGTTAGAGAAACCCAAAGGAGTCATGAATGGAAGCCATCTTGAGAGAAGGAGTGACTTCCCTGGAGGGACACAGCAGCCCCTGGCAACCCCATAGGGAGAGATCCAAAAGAATCATATCCTGACCTCTCCTCCCTCCCTGACCTCTTGCTAGCTCTCTCCTTGACCAAACCCACCGGAAACCAAGGGGCAGGAGAACCTGTTGATGTTGTCTGCACAGAGTTGCCTCCCAGGGCAGTGGACAGAAGGCGAAAGAGAAGGTGGATGTAAGGGGCAAGCAGACACTCTCCGTCCCAGGCAAATTCATCATTGGCCATTAGACGCTTTAAATAAAGGTATGCATGGCTGTGCAGATTTCCAGTTTTCTATACTATATTGCTTTTTTATAACATGATGCTTTCAAATACTTTTGGCAGAACATCTACACTAAGACATTTTGGCTTGCCTATTGGAAATTCCAACCCTAAAACTAGGCCAAGTAAGTCAGAATTTCTTTTGGAAAAAAAAATGACTAACATCCTGTTTAAAAAACAAGTGGAATGATTTTAATCAAATTGGTAATGACATTTGACTTCTAACCTGTTTATTTAAAATGAAAGACAAGCAATCCATGAATATGAAAGAATTTATATATAAACAACCATAATTATACCCTATAAGATTAATAAACCCTTTTTTACATCTGCTAATTACATTTTACAATGAGAAAGCACAGCAGCTCCTAAGGGAAAGAGTTGTTATAATCTATCAAGTCACTAGTAGTGTGGGAATTTTTAAGCCTAACTACCCTGTATATAGTCATCCAAAAGTTCTAACAGCAAGTTGGATTTAAAACCTTCATTTTTTAAGGATGGAACTTTAATATGCCAACCAGTTCTATAGTTCCTCTAGTTTATGACTTCTAACCTTCGATTTTTCCTTATTAAAAAAAGTGATCACTGTATTTTTTTCTCCTTTCCACACATTTCAGTACCCTGTGATTTCTAGAAAATGATAACATAGTCCATATGCAATATTACACACAAATTAAAAAGGTTAATTTAATACACACTTTTTCTGACTAGTGGTTAAATTAAACTCAATATCTTTTTAATGATTACTTTCCTGATTAACGGTTACTTTTTGATTAATTCATTCAACAAATTAGCTCCCACTATGTGCCAGACACGATGACAGGCTCCGGGAATAGGGCAGTAAACAACACATGGTCCTCCCATCCCCATGGAGCATATGGCCAGACGGAAAAGACAGGCATTAAATAAACAATCATCCAAATAACATTTAACAGCCATTGTAATGAGTGCTGTGAAAGAGAAATACAGGCTGCTAAGATTAACAGGGTAACTCATCTGGTCCAGGGGGACAGGGAAGGCTTCCCTGAGGAAATGACATTAAGCTGACACATGAAAAATGATGGAAAAAAGGGAATGAGCACTGAACACCAGCCACAGATCACCTCTCACTTCAGCCTCCCTTCATATGTGTAAACCACCCAATTTGTAGAAGTGGAGAGGAAGGGCAGTCGACTGACAGGTAGTTCATTTTAGAAACTTGCCACAGGCTGAATAATATTAAATCAAAGACCACCATTCCCCAGGCTTTTTGCACATAGCATTTTCAAATAGTCTATGCATGATTTAGGTCCTCTTATCTAAGGAAATAACTGTGTAATTATTAGCAGGAAACTGCTTTATGTTCTCATAGATCCTGAGGTTTGTAAGGGTCAGGAATGAACGAACAAACGAATGGATAGATGGAACATGAAAGAATGAGTGAATCCAACAGAAACTAAGCATAGACAAGAAACAACTTTAAGGCAAGAGCCCAGGAAAAAGTAAATTTTGTATTACTTATAAGTTCTAATATTTGTTTCCTTAGGAAAGTAAAGAAGTGATTGAAAAGTAAAAAGAAACTCTCCATTTCTACTCAGGTAGTGAAGGCTTTGGGATAGGATTTCAAAAGACATGAGAGGCAAGTTAGAACTACCCAGGAGGAGAATAACCTGGCCTTTTTTTTCTCTTACAAGATAATACACATTTTCAGCACCTCTCAAGAGGAGGAAAGAGAAACAAATGGATCTGTCCAACTCTGAAAACTCTGCTCAGTGACCCAGCATCCCAGGGAGACAAGGAGAATGTCATTCCCTGATTTCATTATTTCTAACTCCTACTGCCAGGATTCTACTGCATTCTGGAGTAAAAGACACTTCTTTGATACCTTCTCAACAAAGTTTTCAAACAGCTTGAGATTTCAAAGCGAAAGCTATCTCTAAGTATTCTTTTAAACAAAAGCTAGGGAAAACTCTGCAATGAGTTCCTTAAGATAGTGAAAATCTTCTGTAAAGAGGTTTTCTTACAGGAGTACAAAAAATGGTCAATTATGATTTGTTATATTAGAAAAACCAAAATGATGCCACGGCACTTCTTAGCATCATTTGCTAAATCACTTAAAAATTTAACTCTCCTACCCACTCATTCCCATCACTGCTGACTTCAAACTATCACCTAGCATTTAATTTTCCTCTTCTGCTGATTCCCTCGCTGTGCAATCACTGCTGTGGTTCAATTTCCCCCCAAGCATGTCAGTACTAGAACATTAAAAAATAAAAAGTTAGTAATTATAACCAATGAATTGAAGTCAATAAACCTTAAGCTGGCAAATATTCCATTTAGGCTGGCATTTTGCCACTCAATAATATATGATTTGAATCCTGAAATAAGGAAGAATGTTGATACAGACATTTTTTTATACAAATAAGTTCCCCAGTTGACAATTCCTTGAATTTTCAGTGATTATCCACCTTCACTGATATTCTGGTCTTCAACTGATTATTCATCCCCCAGCTAGCATTCAGGTACTGATTCTGAACATCAAATATTACTGGAAATGTTCATTTCATTTAAGGTGCCTGAGATAGTGAACTCAACATTAGAAGATGGTACCTACGTGGTTAAAGGTCTTAATTAGACCTCCATTTACATAGGAAGAAACCCCACTCCATTCCAAAGACCAAATGGCTGATTTCACAAATTGCCATCATTAGATAACAGGAAAAGTAGATGATAGAACGTAAATGACTCAGATTCCATTATTCCACCACATGTTGGAGAATGTGCCAACCACATGTTCCTCTGATAAGCATCATCTTATCATCTTAGTGTCCAAAAGACAGCACATTAAGTTTCCCCAAAGTGAACAGATTAGCCCTTTCTGCTCATCTCTGCCCCATCCACCATCTTTTTTCTTGAGGAGGCCGGCTTATCACTCTTAATAAACCTCCTTTATGTGTCATATCCCATCTGCACATTGAACTCTTGAAATGTTGTTTGTGTGTGTGCGTGCGTATGTGTACATGCAGGCATACATATACATGTGTATGTGTGTTTGGTTAGTTTTGCCAACATTCATTTAACATGCTTTATTGGCCAAGAACTGTGCTAAGTGCTCTATCCTTATTTTACGGATGAGAAAACTGAGATTTGGAGAAGTTAAGTAACTTTCCTGAGACTGAATAATTTGTAAGTGTGATTCAAACCCAGGCAGTCTGACTCCTGACTCATCTCTAAAACATCTCTACATTCCACTACCTCAGGTCCATTTTAAAATGTTCATTCTTCGGTAGCTTTGCCTTCTGTGAGTGCTCAAGTTCCGGAGGAAGGCACCACAGTTCCCTGTGCTCACTTCTCCTGGTCACATACACAACTCCCTCAATGTCACAGGTCATGGCTCAGCAATAGTTCGGAAGCCATTAACCATTACTAATACGATCATATTGAAAAGGATCATAGTGAAAAGGAAATACCAATACTTACTCACAGCAAATACGACTTTCCCCTTTTAGTTCTGTCAATGACTACAGTTCCTTAAGGGGAGGGTGGCTTCCTAGCCCAGCTGGGTACCGGCAATTGGCCAGAGACAGGGTTGGCACACACAGGGCTTGGGCAGGTTGGGCAGCAATCACCCAGGTCCACAAGAGCAGCCAGGAGCAATGGGGATCATCAAGGCCCAAAGGTCAGAGAGAGCATGCACAAACACTACAGGGGGTAGGTAGCAGAGGCAAAGATCAGAAAAGGTGGAAGGAGACAGAAGGGTATTCTAGGCAGAGGGGACAGAATTTGATAGAAACAAACATATGAATGAATATACTTGGAAAAATCAAACAATTCAGTGGTCTTGGTACAAGGTGTTGATGATCCCAGTTCAGTCTGGTTTTCTGTTTGTTTGTTGTTTGTTTTTGGGTTTCATTTCAACAAACATTTATTAAGCACCTACTATATGCCACTAGTCTTACTTGGCTTCTATGAAAACTTGCTCTCCTGATTTTCCTTGTAAATCTCTACCTCTTTTGTTGGCTATTATTTCTTTGTTTCTTCCTTTAAATGTTAGTATTCTTTAGGATATGGCATGGGCTCTATTTTCCTTTTATTTCACACCCACTCCAAATCTGTACATCCAATCTAAATCTCTTTACTGACCTCTAGACCCATATTATACTTATTTACAATCTCCTCTTGAGCATCGAGCAGGCATTTCAAAACATGTCCAAAACTTATCACATCTTCCCCAGCATAAACCAGAGGCCAACTGGTGCATCAAGCACCTCAAATCACAGCAGGCCAATCAGCTTGGCTCCTAATTTATATGCATGCTACACACTTTATTGTGTATAAGAACTTCCAACTATGCCATGCTGAGTGCTTTACTCTTACACCTTACAATGCATGACTTTGGTCTACCTTGTCTGGCCCTCATCTTTCCTATATTTTTCAGAATTCAGTTTAACCACCATAAATGAAAAGTTTTTAAAAATTAAATTTAGGTCCAAATTTCCTTGAAAGGAAAAAAAATTACCCATGTGTTTTGGTATGAAAGATGTATTCACATTGCAAAAAGGTCAATTTACCAGCATTGACTATAGTATCTGTAGTCAGTGAAGTTTTCTCTACAACCTTGCTCAGTGTTATCAGAAAACCCGCAGCATCAGCATCACCTGGAAGCTTCTTAGAAATGCAGAACCCCAGGCCTCACCCCAGATCTACTGAATGAGAATCTGCATTTTAACAAGATCTCCAGGTGGTTCACACGCACAATGAAATTGGAAAAGCACTGCTCTAGTCTAAAGCATTGAATGCATACTAGGAGCCCTGTATTTTCTTTTGAAAAATTTCCATATCATGCTCAAAGAGAACTAAATGCATTCATTGCAAGGATTATTTTGGTAGATCTGGATGTTGTCATCAAGAGGAGATGTAAAAGCTCCAAGTGCACTTTATGCAAAAGTTGGTGCCTTGAACATGATGTTCACTTCGCCTAAGGTGAATAGCATTTCCTGATAGCTAGAAATTTCTTTTCAAAAATATTCCTCTACTCAAAAATTATGATTA